GCTTGACTGCGTCAGATGTTGTGAGGATAAGATAAGACAGGATCTTATCAGATCTATTGTTCACAGGGTCACTATGAGTCCTACTTGACTCCTTGGCTTCTAACAACAAAAATCAGGCTCTAGGCAACATAATGATAGGTGGAGGGACCTCTCCAAAGTTCTTAAGAATAAGGGTATCATTTTAAAGAATAAGATGGCTCCTGATCCAAATTATGATCTTCTTCATTACATTCTTTGCATCTGAAAACTGGGCATTTATTTACTAAGAATGACAGAAGCATCAATGCCTTTGAGTTGTGGTGTTGGAGAACAGTACAAAATATGATGTGGACTGCCAAAACAACAAACCAGTCTGTCTTGGAGAAGGTGAAACCAAGGTGCTCCTTAGAGGCAAAGATGGTGAAACGTAGTCTAATTTGGGCATATTGTTAGGAGGGGCCAATCCTTGGAAAAAGGTATCATGTTTGGAATGAGAGGATCAGTGAAAGAGAAGAAGACCCTCAACAGATGGATTAACACAGTGACCGTAACAATAGGCCCAACTATATCAGCAATGATGACAATGGCACAGGATAGGGCAGCGTTCAGATGCATTGGTCATTGGGTTACTATACATCATAGCTGATTCTGTGGCATTTATCAACAACAAATGAGGCCCTTGATACAATTTGGTCACCAATTAAGTGAACGAGCCAATTTTACTAGAGTTTTAGTTAAACAAACAAACAACAACAAAGTCAAACAGGGATGGCTTGCCCAGTTTTACCAGACAAAGCTTCAGAGATGTGTGGTGTCAATAAAACACACAAAAAATTGAACATATACTTGAAGGAAATATGAAAGAGAAAATCTGTCCCTTTGGGGACGTCACATTCTAATAAAAATATCTTTACTATTTTACCTTTTAAAAAAGTGAATATGTATATTTTTAACTGGGTTTATGTCCATTGAAAAATAAAGCATCAAGGATGTTTTCAATCCTTGCTACAATATTTAAATACACTGAGGAATAATTTTTGGAATATATAAGAAGTTGTATCACTTTAACTGGACTTTTATGCAATTTCAATAAAACAAATATTCTTACTACTGAACTGTTAGGCAACATCATGAT